AATGGGAAAGCTCCCCTGGAGTTGAAAGGTTCATGTGCATATGCGGGCGCACAAGAAAGCTCGTCTGCAGCAAAAAGTAAGAGAGCTCTTGCAACCTTCCAAACATGAAGCAGGACTGCTCATACTTATCAAACAAGAGTAATGAAAACCGTTCCAGAAGGCACATAAAACAGTACTTCCAGTCCTTGACAACGGTTGCAAGCACCCAATTATCTTGTGATGCAGTATATCCTGTCCTGGACATCAGAAAACATTGTAATGCTCAAAAACTTCCAAAATTTCCAACCTTGAAACTCACAAAACACTGTAATGCTCAAAAAATTCCAAAAATTCCAAAATTCTGGCATCTATGGCCAGCACGGGGGCAGATTCCTTTAAAGTTTGGAATTTTTTGAGCATAGCAGTGTTTCGTGAGCTTTGGGGCAATGAAAAGTGGATTTTTTTTGAGCATTACAGTGTTTTGTGAGTTTTAAACCACGAAACACTGCTATGCTCAAAAAATGAGCTTTGAGGCTGTGAAAAGTTGATTTCTTTTGAGCATTACAGCGTTTTGTGCGTTTTAGACGACGAAACACTGCTATGCTCAAAAAAAGTGAGCCTTGAGCCTGTCACAAGTTGACTTTTTTTGAGCATTACAGCGTTTTGTGAGTTTTAAACCACGAAACACTGCTATGCTCAAAAAATTCCAAAATTTCTAACCCTGAAACTCACGAAACACTGTAATGCTCAAAAAAATTCCAAAAAAACAAAATTCTGGCATCTATGGCCAGGCCGGTGGCAAATTCTTTAAAACTTTGGAATTTTTTGAGCATAGCAGTGTTTCGTGCGTTTCAAGGCTTGGAAAAGTTGATTTTTTTGAGCATTACAGTGTTTTGTGAGTTTTAAACCACGAAACACTGTAATGCTCAAAAAAACAACATTTCACAGCCTCAAAGCTCGTTTTTTTGAGCATAGCAGTGTTTCGTGGTTTAAAACTCACAAAACATTCTAATGCTCAAAAAAACAACTTTTCACAGCCTCAAAGCTCATTTTTTTTTGAGCATAGCAGTGTTTCGTGGTTTAAAACTCACAAAACATTGTAATGCTCAAAAAAATCCACTTTTCATTGCCTCAAAGCTCACGAAACACTGCTATGCTCAAAAAATTCCAAACTTTTAAGGAATCTGCCCCCGTCCTGGCCATAGATGCCAGAATTTTAGAATTTGTGGATTTTGTTGAGCATTACAGTATTTTGTAAATTTCAAGGTTGGAAATTTTGGAATTTTTTGAGCATGGCAGTGTTTCGTGCTCCCCATGCCCCAAGAACCACGAAAGCGTAGATCTTGCGGGGCGGGGTGAGCATATATATATATATATATATGTGCATATTGCTGACCGTTCGCACATCATTAAACTCATTTACTCGCCATTCTGCAATGTACTAGACCCATCTGCTTTTGGGGTACCGCCCCCGTGCTACCACACCACAGCTGTGCGTACCTTGCCCAGTCTCCGGCCGGCTCTGCAGTGATCACCACGGTTTAGGGTTTAGGGTTTAGGAACCCTGCACCCTAAACCCTAAACCCTAAACTTGATTTTGTGTTGCCCCCCGAAACATGATTCTCGTTACAGCCATGGTCCCAAACGAGCAGGGTCCTTGTTTTCAGCTGTGAGGGTTGCAGGCTTTAGCGGTAGACAACGTTTTCGCGCACCAAAACCCCGGAGTCAAGCACCAAAACCCCTGCTTCAAGCACCAACCTGCTTCAAGCACCAACAAGCCCTGGTTCCGCCACGACCCTAAGCTCCCCCCACCCTCAACCACCCTTCCCTGCACGAAAGTTTCCCTGTCCTGCCTACCCGACCGCACCCTATCCCCCTCCCAACTCTACCCTACCCCACCCTAACCTAGCCTGCCCTTCACCACCCTACCTTTCCACACCCTCCGACCACCCTTACCTCCCCTGTGTGCCGCCTTTGACCCCATTCTGCTAACTTACCCTTACCCTCTGCCCTTGCTGCCCTGCCCCACCCTACCCTATAAACCCCTACCTACCTTATCCAACCCGCCTAGCCCGAAACCCCATCCACCTCCCTTCTCTCCGTAACTGCATCCACCGGCACCAGACCACAAAACCTATCGAACCCCATCACCGCAACTTCTTGCAGCAACCATCCACCCGCAGCACCCGAAAAAAACCCACCAAAACCCCAACCCCATCTCATCTTCTGCTACCCAAACCTACTGCACCCCAGTGTGAAGAACCATACCCTGCCCTACACCGACCCTGGCGTACCGTACCCTCCCCTCCCCTACCCTGCAAAACCCACCAACCCAACACACGCGCACAACCCCACTTTACCCTACCCCACCCTAACCTACCCTGCCCTAACCAACCCTTTCCTGCCAAACCCTAATTGACCCCGAACCCACCCTAACAAACCACTTATCCTGCCAACTCAAACCCCTGCCCCACCCTAGCCTTTAGGCCCCTAACCCACCCTACCCTAATCGATCCTGCCAAACCCTGCCCTGCCCCTACCCAACCCTTTCCTGCCAATGCTCCACACAACTCCAACCACCCGCACGCACACCCTACCCTACCACACCCTACCCTACCCTGCCCTAAACTTCACCCTACCCCATCCTGACCTACGTCAAATCCTAATTTAACCTGCCTGCCCTTGACCCCATTGCGCTAACTTAACCCACAGCAGCCGCACAACCCTACCCTACTCTTCCCCGCAAAACCTACACAACGGGAACCCAACCCTGCCCTACCCTACCCTGCAAAAGCCGGCCCAACTCTTCGCCACAAAACCTACAGGATTCCAACCCACCAAGCAACTACCCAACCCTACCCTCCCCTACCCTACCACACCCTACCCCAAACTACTCTTCGCCCTCCTTGCCTGCACCCTAAACCCCAACCCGAAACTTATCACCCGAACCTCCCCTGCCTGCCCGAACCTGCCCTCACCTACCCTATCCCTCACCTGACCCTAACCAACCCTTTCCTGCCCCACAAAACCTACACAACTCCAACTACCCACAAGCACACTACCCTACCCTACCCTCCCCACCCTGACACACCCTGTCCTACCCAATCCAAGCCAACCCTCCTAATTTAACCTACCCTAACCTACCCTACCCGAACCTACCCTACCACCGCAAGCAACTACCCTACCCTACCCTACCCTCCCCTCCCCTACTCTACCCCAAAATACTCTTCACTTGACCCTACCCCACCCTGACCTACCCTGCCCTGCAATCCTTTCCTGCCAAACCCTGGACCTTTTTTCCTGTCCGAACCTACCTTGACCCCATCCTGCCCTACGCTAACCTACCCTATCCCTCGCCTGACCCCCAACCCCTTTCCTGCCAAACCCGAACTCCCTGCCTAGCCAACCCTAACCTACCCCACCCCTAACCAACCCTGTCCCACCCTACTTGACCCACCCCACTCAAGCTTCCACCATTACCTCCCCTGCCTGCCTGCCCTTGACCGCATTGTGCTAACTTACCCTTACCCTCACCCAACCCACAGCAGCCGCACAACCCTACCCTACTCTTCCCCGCAAAACCTACACAACGGGAACCCAACCCTGCCCTACCCTACCCTGCAAAAACCGGCCCAACTCTTCGCCACAAAACCTACAGGATTCCAACCCACCAAGCAACTACCCAACCCTACCCTCCCCTCCCTACCACACCCTACCCCAAATTACTCTTCGCCCTCCGCACCCTAAACCCCAAACCCGAAACCTATCACCCGAACCTCCCCTGCCTGCCCGAACCTGCCCTCACCTACCCTATCCCTCACCTGACCCTCCTACACAACTCCAACCACCCACAAGCACACTACCCTACCCTCCCCACCCTGACACACCCTGTCCTCCCCAATCCAAACCAACCCTCCTAATTTAACCTACCCTAACCTACCCTACCCGAACCTACCCTACCACCGCAAGCAACTACCTTACCCTACCCTCCGCTTCCCTACCCTACCACACCCTACCCTCCCCAAAATACTCTTCACTCAACCCTACCCCACCCTGACCTACCCTGCCCTGCAATCCTTAACCCCAACCTTTTTTCCTGTCCGAACCTACCTTGACCCCATCCTGCCCTACGCTAACCTACCCTATCCCTCGCCTGACCCCCAACCCTTGCCTGCCAAACCCGAACCCCCCAGCCTACCCGAACCCCCTTCCCAACCCTGTCCCACCCTACTTAACCCACCCCATACCCTAACGACTCGTTCCTGCCTTCCCTCTGCCTGACCCAAAACACACTCTGTCGAAAACCAAACCCTGCCCTACCCCACCCACCCACCCCGCACAACCCCACCTTAAACCACCCGCAAGCAACTACCCTGCTCTTCACTTCACCCTACCCCACCCTGACCTACCCTGCCCTACCCTGCCCTACCCAACCCTTTCCTGCCAAACCCTGACCTTCACTATCCTGCCACCCTGACCTTTCTTGCCTGCCCGAACTTGACACAACCCTGTCCTACCTACCCTACCCTACCGCTCTCTGCAGCAGCAGCCCCCTTGACCCCCTCCTTGCCAACTCAACCCCTGCCCCACCCTACCCGAAAGGGTAGACAACGATTTCGCTAACCAAAACGTCCGCATCAATGCATGGGCCCGTTGCTACATATTGGTGTTTTGTCGTTTGCGGTTTTGCGGCTGCTGCATCACTTTCTCAGGGCAAGGTTGTTGAATGCTTTGTCTTTGGTGCGTGGTGTTGTTTTGGTGCTTGTTGCCGGTGTTGGTGGTGCTGGAAGCGTGGTGCTCGAAGCTTGGTTGCTTGAAGCGCGGCCGGTTGCAGAAGCAGGGAACTATCAGGCTTTAGCAAGAGTAGGAGGACATTTCACACGAGACCAATGGCAACACAGGGTCCTGGAGGGTGGCTCAGATGGAATGCATTCATTGCTCGTCTCGCGGCCGAGCTTAGTTTCAAATCTCCAGGCCCAATACCAACGCTGAACCCCAAGAGCCAGAACCCAAAAAGGGCTTCACCCCAGGCAGGGCCTCAGCATGCTGTCGAAGTCCTGGTAGGTGGAAGAGCCGCCTCGTTCCAGCTCTATCCTCGGTCATGAATGCAAGGATTGCGGGAGTGGGTCTCAGCACTCTTCGATCGATGTCATGTCGGTCGGGCATGCAAGTTAGGGAGCGTTCCTTGCCGGAGTTCCAACGAGTTCGCAGGGCCGCTATCACATGAGACGAACGTCTTATTCTCACAACACGAGCATACCATTACCCTACCATTGTCATCTCATCACCCAGCACATCCGCCAACAGAGACTCTGTTCTGGGGTTCGCGAATTCCGGGTCGGCAAGCTCAGGCTGAGGCAGCTCCGGTAGCTCTGGCACATCCGGCATCGGCGATGGGCAGAAGCCGGGAGAGTGCTGGGCAAAGTTGAGGCACTCGGTGGGCGAGACCTTGGCATGCGAGCATGGCTGCTCAGGACACAAGACGACAAAAGGTCAATTTTGCAGGACATGCCAACTGAAGTCAGCGGGGCTGCAGGCCTTCTTGCATTGGTCTAGCTGTCCCTGAAGCTTGGCAGGCTTAGCTACGAACCAAGCACGCCAACGGTGCCGGCATAACCTCGGTATGCTTCTGTAACGCATCGTCAGCAAGACCTGCAGCTGAGAGTCATGCGGCGCGAAGCTTGGCTGTGCTTGGTGGGGCTGACAATCCTGGCAGCTGAGATTGCTGTGAAAGCTGCAAGGTGGATCAGCACCCGTGATCACAGAGTGGCAGGCTGGACGACGCAGACGGATGATGGCTCCGCTGAGTCAGTACCTGTTCCGTGAGGGGTTATCGGGGGGGAGCGCCTGCAGCACTTCCCAGAGGGTCGAAGGGTCCTAACTGAAGCCCAGCAAGCAGCGAAGGTGCTGAAATGACTTCAGGGCACCAGCGCTAGTCTTCGTCGCATGGTGTGTTCCACAGGCCTGGCTCGATACGCATCGAAGCCTTGGAAAAGAACTCGGAACTTCTGCCCCTGAGGCACGGACTGTGTTGGCGTTAAGATCCCTGAGGGTGTCTTCAGCTCGTTGTTCAAGCCCGAAATGGTACGGTTCGGCTCGATCTGCATCGCGGCTTCCACATGGATGTCCCAGGAGCTTTGTCTGCCTTAGAACCAGCTCGATAATGGACAATCCCCCCTGCCATCTTCATGAGTATACATACATACATACATGCATACATATGTATATATATATATATATATATATATATATATATATATATGTACATATACATATACACATATATATATACATGGAGAGAGAGAATAAATGTAGGTACATGTGGAGTATGCACGCGCATATGTGTACACAGATATATGTACATACATACATTTACATACGTATACAAGTACATATACATATATATAAACATATACATAAGCATAAACATAAGCATAAACATATACATATACAGATTCAAACATATACGTTACATACATACACAAAAACACAAACACACTCTCTCTCTCTCTCTCTCTCTCGCTGGGGCCTTGGCCCACGGGCGTCACATCGGGGCCAGGCCTTCGAATTGATGCAGGGAAAGGTTCGCTGCCACAGATTCCACAAAGGAGCCCCACACGGAGGCCTCCTCCGTCCAACTTTGTGGCTCGTCTTTGGAACCAAGGATTCAAAAAGGACGGCATGGCACCTCGATGTGGACTCTGCATACATTCTACGAGAACCTCAAGACGAATACCTTGGGCAAGCACTCGATGTCCGTCTGTAGCAGAACTCGGGAAGACACCTCAGCAAAACAAGATGCGTGCACGGAAACACCACAGCCAGACCTGACATGGAATCTGCCGGGCAGAAATGTCACGAAAGCATGTTGGCAGCAAGCTCAGTCTTGCGCCCGCTGCATAGATCTGAACAGGGGTCTAAGGTCCTGCGATGGATGCACACATCCTGAGCTTGGTAGATAGAAGTGCAACGGTTATGTCACTTTCTTCTAGCATGTGTAACGTACACGGTCCGTGTGCGTGTGAGCTTGTCTTATCCTGCTACCTATCGGTCCATCTATCTGTGTATGTACGTACCCACATAGGTAGGCAGGTAGGTAGGTAGGCAGGTACGGCAGGCAGCCAGGCAGCCAGGCAGGTGGACGAAGATGTACGCCATACACAGTTACAAAGTACATATAAGTGTAAACATACACATACACATCCTACGTACCTACCCATCTACCGACCTACCTAACCTACCTACCCATCTTCTTTCCATCCATCCACCCATCCATCTATCCATCCAGCCATATCTCTACATCTCCAGAGGAGATCATGGACGCCACCATCCTCTCAGTCTCAAGCCCCAGCTCCTCTTCCGTGGGATTCGGCGGCAGAAGCCGCGCCAGGAGGTTAAAAGGCAGAAGTACCTCGGACTCAGAATGCTTGCTGCAGTGCCGGCTTGCAGTTTCATGACCTGGGCAAAGTCCGATTTGGCTTGGGTGGGGGCTCGTCCAGGGGAGAGGGAGGACTGCAACAAGATTCGTCAGATTATCTGGCCTTCCCTGGCTGAGTGTCCGGCCTGGTGCCAAATCCGCCGTCCCAGATACTGGCCCACAGACTGCACGAAAGGATCTGCGTAGTCCAAGTGGTACCTCTGGTACCGCTGGATTGGTGCTCTCACGCTGGTGGTCCACGCGACCCTGTTTCGGAGTTTTCATTCCACAGCAGACGCGGGAATTGAAAAAAACTCACTGCCTAAAGCTCGGCATTCACAGGTGAAGGGTTTGGCACTTCTGGATCTAGTGCTCAACACACCCATACACTACAACTATGATATACTATAACTGACGATCATGCACAAGGAAGGTGCTTCTGAGCCCCGAGCGGGGCCGTGTATTCCCCATCCCCGGCGACCGTGATCACCATAGGCAAATCGGGCTTGATGGCCCAGTCCTTTTGGGGTGGCAGACAGATTACGCTAAGTCCAAAAGCAGAGTGGTAATTGCAACTCAACACGGATGTTTGCGGTTTGGGGTTGAGGGCTTAGGGGAAAGTGCGGCTAGCAACGGTAATGGAAATTAGACAGACAGCATACAAATCTCATGGCAAGCGTCCTTGGTGCTACTGCGGCAATACTGCACATGATTGTAGGAGCCAAGAGGACAATTGGGAATAATAATGAGAAGTACCCAGCTATGCCGGAGTGTTTAGGGATTGGCTTTGAGGCTTGGCATCGGAAGCTGGACAGACGGTCCCGTGGCATGCCAAAAAAACACCTGCTTGAAGAGCGTAGTGGCTCTCCACCAGCAGGGATGCCTGTCATGCCTGTCTTTTGGCGCCTCTTATCATGAGAAGACTGCCTAGAAACCCCAATCTCAAAATCTCGGACCGTGAACCCTGCACCCTCAAGCCCGAACACCTAAACCCTCCACCCTGAATCCGAAACTCTCAAGCCCGAATCCCTGAACCTGAGACCCGCCCTTCTGGAATAGAAGTACCTAAACCCTGCCCAAACCTCCTGCCTAGAAGCACTCAAGTGTACCCTTCCAGGTACCCCAACCTTACGAGAACCCTTACAGGAACCTCAAAGGAACCCTTGAAGGAACTGTCCTAGACCAACCACCCGACAAGAGCGTTTAGATGTGTTTTCGATTTTTGTGTGTCCAAGCTTTCCTCGAGGGTTTTGGAGTAGTCCAAGACATCCACGTAGGCGAGGGTCATCTCCCGATCTGTACCTGAAGCTGAGGGTTCACTTAAGGGCTCCGTTAAAGGTTTCCCTTCAGGGAATAGGGCTCCTTTGAGGGCTTTAGGTTGAGGGTGTTCCTGAGGAGGGTTCCTCGTAAGGGTGCCTGTCAGGGTTCCTTGGAGGGCTCCAAAGGTTCCTTGAGGGGTTCGGCTAAGGGTTCCTAGTCCGTCCTTTGTTGAGCAACCCACTGATCAGGTGCGCAGTTCAACGTCCCCCTGGCCGTCTTAGGGTTTAGGGTCCAGGGATTCTATTGTTGCGCACCGGTGAACCAATACATCTTGAGACATCTTGTGGTCCAAAGAAGTCATGACATGGGCAGTGTCTTAAGTGCAAGAAACTCAGTGGCTCAAGAATATGCTATATGCACCTGATAGAAACCCGTGCACTAAGCCACTAAGCGTACGCCTTGTAGTATCCCTGAAATTGAAAGTAACCATATCTACAGTAACCATAGCATACAGTAACCTTGCAGTACCCCATAAGCAACTGCATATTTCAGGCCTCATCGTCGCCTTCTAGCACTCTAGAAACAATATAGCAACCATACGCTGCAGATTTGGACAGGTGTTTATGCGCCCTCTTCAAACGATGGGAACTTGAGCCGGCCAGATTTAAATACCCTTTCGGTCGGCCTTGTGGTACCACTTACAGTGGCCCTTGCGCTACCCAGTACCCGTTCTTGTAACCCTTATCCTCAAAGGATCCCTACACCCCCACAATCTGGGCCACTGGCCGAACTTCAAGCCGTAGCGACTTGGATTCGGGATGCCTCGACTGGATTATGAGGGAGGGTGAGAATATGCGGACGGGCTTTCGCCATCAATGATCCAGCGTGGTCAACAGATGGTGTAAGCCATCCTGTCACATTCAAGACTAAACCCGAGCCACAAGCCATAGATGCCCCAAAAACCCTGAAGCTCGGAACCCAAAAGATCTCTCGATCCGTATCCGAATCATTGAGAGCCTGCGCCGAAGCGCCCAAACCCTTGCAAAACTGACACCGATCATGCTCAGAATCACAACGAATACTGCCATCGGTAGTAGAGATATCAAACAATATCAAGGCTTCAGGCATTTTAGTTGGCTCTGCTCTCTGAACTCCAGGTCGCTTACCCTAAACCCAGAACCCCTTAAGCCCTAAACGCTAAACAACGGCCCGAAGAATCCGCCAGTTCGGACCCCGGCTCAGGGACCAGAGGGTCTCATTCGCGCCCGTCGCCTCGCCTGAACTCTGCCGAAGGCGCTTGGAAAGGGTTTAGGGTTTAGGGGCCTGTGGTTTGCTCCTTTTCTCACGAAATCCTCTGCTAAACGTTTTTGGTTCAGGGTTTAGGCTTTCCACAAAAACGAGGGCTTTGCAAGATCTCGGCTCCATTACTACGCAATAAGCCCCGGAGGCTTCTGCACCTCAAGCACTCGATTTCTAACCTTTGGGGAGGCTGAAAGTTTGGCTCTGCGAGTTTTAAGGCTGCTCAGACTCTGGGTACAGCTTCGGGCCTGGCATAAGCATCGAAGCGACCTACCAAGCCAAAATAGCTATCGTTAAGAATAGTGGCAATAGTGGGACGGGAAGCTGGCAGTAACAGCTGTACAGCAGCAAGAGTGGATGCGATTGGTCCGTGCAACAACTCAGCACCACCACCACCACCACCACCACCACCGCAACTACCACCGCCACCAACACCACCATGAGCAGCTGGGGGCAGTAGTGGTAGCAGTACCAGTACCAGGACCAGCACGAGCACGAGCACCAGCAAAAGCAGCAGAGTAGTCGTAGTAGTAGTAGTAGTACTAGTACTAGTACTAGTACTAGCAGCAGCAGCAGCAGCACTTGTTGTTGTTGTTGTTGCTCCTCGTCCTCCAACTAGTACTACTACTGCTGCTACTGCTACTGCTACTGCTACTGCTCCTGCTCCTGCTCCTGCTGCTGCTGCTGCTGCTGCTACTGCTACTACTGCTACTGTTGCTGCTGGTGCTACTGCTGCTACTGCTACTACTGCTACTACATCCCCGGGCCGAAAGTTTCGAGCCACATGTGCATTGGCTAACATACACGCTCTTGCGGAGTAGCGGAGGACATCAAAGTGTCGTTGACACGGTACCCTATGCAGGGTAGCGGAGTAACTTCTACCCCGTTTTCAAAATAGAATACTTTTTAGTGGCCCCAGTGATCACATGTGTTAGGAGTCTATGGGAAAGAGGGTGGGGTGGCTGGGTATTGTCGCATGTTCAAGCTAGTGGGTCGACCTAGCTTCCCTGCGCAGTCCTACTATCGCTGCTGCTGCTGCTGCTGCTGCTGTGGCTACTGTGGCTACTGCTGTACCACGACCACGAAGATGCCGTGCAGCCTGGGCCTAAAGATCCTCCTGTAGTTCCACTTGCAGTGGCTACTCTCAAAGATCTCCCAACCAAGTCTTAGACTCCCACAGGTCAGCTCAGCAATCAAGCTTGTTCGGCCCAGACGAGGCGCTTAATGACCACACGTATGCTGCAACATCTGCGGCTCTGGAGAATCGAAGATGCCACCGGATGTACCTGACGGCGGGATGGCATGAGAGCGCCAGGAAGACAACATCGCTGGCTACTGTGTCGCTGGCAGCAACAACTCAAGCTACCAACCTTTGCGATCCTTTCTGTATGCAGTTGTCTTTGCGGACTTCCGAACCTCAAGATCGACAAACGGTCTAAAACCATATCACTTTGATGCTGCTGCCTTCCCGAACCACACATCATACATGTACTGCACGAACAGTAACTAAAGCAAGCAAAGGACGAACTCAATCATATGCGGAATGAAGGGTTCTCTCCGGCATACTTTTTTGAATCATCCCACGGTCACTCGGCGACAGGAAGATACAGCCACCGGAGGACACCCTCCGCCATTAACTGGGACCGCATCCTCGCAGTGCTGCAGGCATGTAGGAGGACATCCCACGTGCTTCGGCGTTTCTTTATTTGAATTATAGTATAATATTCCGCACACTCTATTCTAATTACTAAGGCCCCTATATTACTGAGGCTTGGCAGGATGCCAATCCTGGTTTCGACGCTTGCAGAATCAGCACGGGCAGCCATGCGAAAGGAAAGCTCAAAGACTAATGCCATGATCTTGCCAGGCTGGGCATCGGTCCTTACGAAACATCTGAAATTCACCTGCGCGGCGAAGTCTGCCCATCCTCAGCCACACAACTTCTGACCCTCGAATTGCCCTTCGTACCTAGACTAGAACCTAGACATGAGCAGACTGACGGAGCATGTGTGCTACACCGAGGTCATCGCGGTTCTCGTCCACCAGACCACGCAGCTCCTGGAGATGGCGTTGCGCTGTGACCGCTCTCCCCTCGGACATGATCAAGCTCGCAGGCTACTTAAGACTTAAGGGCCTGTCGCTCGGGCTGCCATTTTGGAATATGTGATCCCCAGCTGGGAATGTCCAAAGACCCCCGGAGCGCAGCTACAATTATACTATACTATATCTATAACATACCTACGATTCTACTATATTATATCTGTAATATATCTCAAAACCCTGTTCTAATTATTCCGGCGGCCATATTAGGATGAGACCCCGCGAGGTCCTCGGGAGGTTGGGCCGAGAGCCGCCAGGGATCCCTTGGAGAGTTCTCTCCTTGCAGGTAGATGCGCTGAGTGTGATGAGGCCTCGGTAGGTCATGACTCTCTGTGCTGCTGTTTGATGCTTTTTGGGTACCTCCAACAACTAAGCGGCGTACAGATCGCCGACATTCAGCAAGTGTGCCTTTGACAGGTAGACTCTGTTAAGGACATTGCCGCAGCTATGCAAATCCCGATAGTCTATCTTAACGCCGGGGATCCATTCCTAGGCTGCTAGTCAGACCATACAAACAAACTTCGAGTTGACATCCCCCGGTGGCCTCGCCTCCTTCATGTCTGAGCCTCGACGGTTGCGCTGGCGAATCTTTCGCCAGATGCTCGCGACCTCATGGGGCAGCACGGGGTGTAAAGCAACCTGCAAGATCCTGTAAGTAGGAAGCTGGGCGTCCCTGCATAGCCCAGAAACCATCTCCTCGGAGATGGACAGTAAGTTCACAACCAAAGACACTGAAGGACGCAAGCATCACAAACCATGATGCAAGACGTTCGAGGTTGACGTTGGGCTTCGCACGGTCGCGATTCGCCCACAGTTCGGCTGCGGAGGCTGTTCACGGCGTCCACATTCTGAGAAAAGACGAAGAACAAGACCACGACAACGGACGTGCAGGGATTGAGGCGTCAGCCGTGTGGACAGCACCATCTCCACCAATGTCAAGATCTGCAAGGGGGTGCCTCCACAAGGTCTGGCGGAGGTCAACACCTCTTCGAAATCCAATGCCCTGGCCTCCCCCGCAAGGACTCGAAAAGCAGCATGGCTTCGTCGTTCATCCCTTAGACATACCATACCACAGCCACATCACGTGGGAGACTGCCCAGCTCGATTCTCAGCTTCAGACCCAGGAATTGGCGTCCTGTGTGCCTCTGCTTCTGCAGCCACTGCAGGCGTCGGCGCGTCTGGACCCGCTTCGCGGAGATGAGGAGGCCGAAGGAAACCGCCATCAGCAGGATCAAGACTACGACGCCCCAAACCTCGGCTTAGCCCAAGCTTGCAAGGACAGGAAATTACGCGGCTCCCGAGAACCGTAAGGTCTGCGCACCGCCGAAGAAGGCGAAGTAGTAGCTCCAGGGATCATCACCTCTCTAGGCGAACGGCATTGCTTGAGTGTTTTGTTCGCGCTTCCGCGCCCCATACTGGAGACATGTGTATGTTCCGATGCACGCGTGTCTGTATATGTGTATGCCTGCATGCATGCACATACGCATGCTTGGCCGTCTATCCGTCGGGGGCTGTCGCATGTACGTGCAAACATCAATGAATGTAGGCTTAGGCTTAGACGTTTCGGGCAACAAGGGGCATCTAAAAGTATGGTGTTAAACAACATCGCGTAGACAGAAAACATGAAATCACTGTATAGCACAGCACAACACCACACGACACGACGCAACACAACACAACACAACAGAAGACACGAAATCAAATTGGTACACAAGAATGATCATGACGCTAGACATAAGCATAGTTGCAACAGCAAGCAGTTAATGGCATGACAATCGCTACAGTATGAAGTTTCATAGCATGAGTCACCTTCGCCGTCAGGTGATAGTGTCGTAACAGCAGTAGCAGCAGTGCCAGCAACGACCGTCGTACAGCAACAGAAGTAGTAACGGCAGTGGCAGACGTCGTCAACACTCCCTGAACCCTCCCATCCGAGTAGGGACCCAGCAGTCCGGATTCACCTCCACTGGAGGGAAGCCGGATGGGCATGCGTAGGGGCAAGACTCCTGAGCTCTGACTCGCGAAGGGCTTCCTGCAATGAACAAGTAATCCTCCCAGGGCCTTTCAGTGGAAACCCCCCCACCTTATCAGGCTCAAGATTCGTTGAGCCAGCCGGTGGTTGTGTAGTAGCCCTGCGTCGGCTTGTTCTTGCATGGCAGGCACATGCGAAACCTGAATTGCACGGGGCGCCATCCATGCAGGCAAAAGTGAGTTGATTAAGTGCCGGGCAAAGCGGTAAGATTCTCTGGAATCTGTGGCCTTACAGTCTCCATGCTGAGCCTACTACGCTTTTGACCACACTCTGTTCCTCTCACTGAAATTCCTGCAGACTCGGAGTACTTGGCTACCTGCGGGTTGTAGGTACCTGCCGGACACTCGGCACAGTAGATGCCGGCATGGCCGGGACGGCAAACCTGGTCTCACGGCAGAGAAAGCAGGTGTCCAGGTAGGCTGCTAGCAGGAGAGATCGATGTACATGTCACGTGTACACCACTAGCCCGCTGGCATCGATAGATGGGTGGACGGACGGGGACAGACAGACAGACATGTAGTATTAGCACAGCTACACTGACGATTCATGCAGTCTTGCGGGTCCCCCGAGTCTCCGACTCCCAGTTGCAGTAGCTCCTCAGCGATTCTTACACAGTTCTGAAGAGTCTAGAGGTTAGTCAGTTTAGGGTTTGTGATTTTCCTGGGCTGGGCCTATCATGCGAAAGCAAAGTCTAGATAGTAGTAATCAGAGCGAAAGCAACCTCTGGATTCTGGATTGAAGGAAAGCCACAAAAGCTTTACTACTTTTTGCAGCGGCGCTGACTAGGCCAACAAGGGGGGCTTCTCATTTTGCTGGACATGATCCGGTGACATCTTTCTGTGTACCGTTATTCCTCTTTTATTTTGTCATGATGATGATCATGATGATGACGAGTGTTGTCTTCATTCCATAGTTCTCATGCTTGGATCACTAGTTTTGGTGGTGAACAGGACAAGTGACATGCAGAAGTTCACTGTTGCCTTTGCTCTTGCTACCGTTGCCGACTACGGCGACGATTACCGCAAGATGCCGCCCGTGCCGGGAAAAGAGGCGCCAGGCATTCAGAAAAAGACCGGAAACCGTCTGAAGCCTTTTTCGGCCATGATTCGCCAGCACAGCCCCTCTGGCCCACCAGGCGTCCGCAGAACGGTGACAGATCGCCGCTGCCCCCCTGGACATCCAGGCTGCCGGTGAAGGCTGCCCAAGCCTCTGCCACCGGTCTGACGGGTCCGATACAGCAGCGCAGGCAGTACATACGCATGTACATACACGCAGACACGAACATCTTCTCTGCATAATGCTGAATAGAGAGAGAGAGAGAGAGAGAGAGAGAGAGAGAGAGAGAGAGAGAGAGAGCGAGAGCGAGAGCGAGAGCGAGAGCGAGAGCGAGAGCGAGAGCGAGAGCGAGAGCGAGAGGGAGCAAATGTCTCACTCTCGAGCTTTGGCTCTGAAACCGAGCTGCCTCGGAAGCATTCGGGCCAGCGCTGCCGATGGCTCCGCCGCCACCACCACCTCCTACAAAGCGAAGCTACTTACCCAAACTGAAAGTTTAAGGAGTGGTGAGTGGAGGTTTAGGGCTCAGGTTGGGGAAAGGGTCTAGAAACTAGGATTGGGGGTGATCTCATACTCGTTCTACACGACCGAGCGTGAAATCGTCCGGCCTACGCAGCCGCCTCCTCTGCCGCCAGCTGCCTGCGAAAAGGCCGGTTGACCCATTCCACACGCGCCAGAATCACAAGCCTTGATCATGCCACTGCCATTGATGACCGTTGCATTGATGATGACCTCATGTCGGACGAGACTTCATAAAAGAACTTCGCCAGAAATCCAAAGGCATCCTGCATATTTCCAGTAAATTCAGCTTCAGTGGAAGCTGTGGAGCCTGATGGCTGAGATCCGCCGTAGTGCATAGGTTTAAAGAAACATTATGCACTGTGACTAATCCTTCCCTTTCCCCTTGTGGGGTCCTGGCAGTGCCACCGGCGCCACCGCCGGAACCCTCATGGCCCCCGTCGGCCCAGCAGGATGCATCCTGATGGCTGCTCCAAGAATCGCATGGGTTTGGGGTTTGGGGTTTGGGGTTTAGGGGTTTAGGGTTTTGTGGTTTTGTGGTTTTGTGGTTTTGGGTTTGGGGTTTACGGCTTGGGGGTTTAGGGTTGGGGTTTAGGGCTCAGCACAAATCCGTTGGAAGGATTCTAGAGTGCTTCATGAAATGGGGATGCTAGGTGGCGAGGCCTCCCCGCTGGCGGAGATGCTGGTGCTGTTGGATGGCATCTCCAACACCTCATGGTGGGCTCCATCTAAGAATCACAGACCACAGAGACAAGCGCACCCTGAAGGTGCAAGCTACTGCTTGGATGGTTGTTGCATTGTCGAGCAAGGGAACGTAGCAAGTTTAGAAAGTCGCTCAGGCAGACAGAAATAAATGCAACAGAGGAACAGACATCGGACGCTCTCCAACGCTAGGACGACAAGATTGCAAGCCAGCAGAGCAGCTGAGGTCACCGCAGCTGCCCGGATCCAGATGATCCCTCCCCCTGCCCCGGCAGTGTTTCCACCACCGCCTCCGGGCTTCGAGGCAAAGGTCGGATGAGGGCGGGATGTCGACAATTTTGGGGCCTGAATACTTAGAATAGGGCCTTGTTTAAAGGGGGTCTATTCGGATTACGATAAGGGATCTAGAATCTAGAAGGGTACTATCATGTAGGGGCCTGAACAATTGGAATAGGGTTTTGGGGCCCACTATACTCTAGTTATAATAAGGAACCCCCAAAATAGTATAGGTAATTATTTTTATTATTACTATTATTGTTATTATTATTAAGGCTCGATAAGGCCCCTAGATTACTCTTCCGGACCTCCATCGAGACTTATGGGCGTATGGAGGTTCCGTTCAAGCAGAGACCTGCGCACTTCGAGAATGGAAAGAGATTGCAGTCGGCGCTCGTCCCGATACCCATTCGGCTTCATACCTTAAGTCTCCTCAAAACGGAGCGTAATTTGCAAGTAGGATTGGGTTAAAGATCATGATTCTCCGTTTTCGGAGCCGTAATCGCCGTAATCCCCAACACGTGAGAGTTGCAAAAGTAGAGGGCGCTGCTATTCAACTGCAGTTGTGTTCTCACCCTGTTAACCCTACTCGAGCGAAGCCCCTGCACGAAGACTTACGAACGAGGTCTGACACAAGTCTGACACTCGCTTAGGACTTATGTATATAACTTTGGAGCCTGCGCAGGCCCTGTAGCTCCAAAGACGAAAAAACGAACTCAGCAAGTCAACCCTGAAACCCTAAGCCTCAGTTTAGGGTTTAGGGTTTAGGACCATACATAAACCTAAAGTAGCTCTCCATTGACTCTCCATAACAAAACCATAAACTATCTGACCATTCAGCTTTTCGGTGGGGTTGTTGCCCTAAGCCCTAGACCTGTGCCCTAAACCCCAAACCCCAAACTCCAACACCCAACCCTAAACCCAAAACCCTAAACCCTAAATCCTAAACCCTAAATCCTAAACCCTAAACCCTAAATCCTAAACCCTAAACCCTAAACCCTAGATCCCTAAATCCTAAACCCTAAACCCTAGATCCCCTTCCACACCAGCAACGGCCCCGACCGCTTGCAGACCAGCTCGGAAGTCTCGAGGGCTTGGCACTTCGGGCCTGGGGGACATTGTGCTTGTGGTAGCAATAGTAGTTATATGGTAGTGATATGATAGTAATATGATAGTAATATGATAGTAATATGGTAGTAATATGATAGTAATATGATAGTAATATGATGGTAATACGGTAGTAATATGGTAGTAATATGGTAGTAATATGGCAATAATACTTTAGAGCTCTTCTTTGGGGCTTAGGATTAGGACTCTGTGGGTCCAGGGCCTTGCCTGGGCTTTAGGGGGCCCACGGCATCGCGGGCTTGAACGGTCGAGGGATCTATAGGGGTTCTATTTCAAGGGTTTGCCTTACGCGTTACAGTACTATGGGTGATGGAGGTTGAAGGGCTGGAGCCTCTGCACAGAGAGAAGAATCAGCGACCGAAGTGAAAAGCACCATGTCACTCTGCCACTGCGGCGAACGTGTCTAAACGGCTAAACGATGATACATCATAGCTCGGGAGCATCGAAGTTAACCATTCTCACAAGCACCGCGTCGCAGCACATGCTTTCGCACTGGCAGGTTCGGTGCTACAAGGCTCTGAGATACCTGCGACTTCGGACGTCCACCAGCCATCGTACTTCAGGCCTGTCCCGAGTCCCTCGCTCCTTGAATTGACCAAAGGCCCAGTTGCCACGCTGAAGTTAGAACCACCACTGCAGTACCACAAAAGCCAATGCAGCCTCCATATCTGGTCTGAGCAGAAGCAACTGCTTAAAACCCTCTGCAAGAAGACTGTGGCTCCTGCCTTACATCAAAGCCCTGACAAGCCCGCATGAAACCCTCAATACATGCCGTAACCAGAAACTCCATTATCCCTTAGTGAAGAATATTCGTTAAATCATTTCTTTGGATCCTACTATATAACTTAAGGCATACTTCTCCAGGTAAAGCCCTGTAAAGAGTGCCCATGCCTCCTGTTCCGGCACATCGCTGCCGAGTTCGGTTGCTCACGCCGTCCCCGCCGTTGCCGCAGTGTCCTCCACCTCCCCCGCCGCAGACCCCCTCTGCACCTCGAGCGATTTGGGGTGCAGGAGATCATGGTCGTGCCGACCCCACAAAACATCACTGCAATGACCACAAAAAGTCGCTCGGACCCCAACTTCACAGCCTACTCGCGCGAGGCAAAGGCCCTCTGGCGCAGATGTGGCATGTCCATGGACTGAGCTCCATGCTGCGCTTCATCCGCTGCGTGTTCTCCTCTCGCGACTCAATAGTTTTTTACCGGGACTTGTCATCATTGCTGCACGCGCTGGCATCAAAACTGTAACGACCAAAACTTCGTTGTTGATGGGTCGTTCCAGTCTTGTGGGATATTGTGGCTATCACCACGTTCTGACTGATTGCTACTACTGCTGCTTTCGAGCCGGACTAACTAAACATTATTGTTCGATTTGTCTTACGAGGATGTTTGCCATCAGTGGCGTTAAGAATAGCCTGCTTATGAATACGTTTCCGTTCCTTTTACTACTGATCAGGAAGCTTCTTTGACGCGGCGCAACCCAAGGTTAGAAAACAACGCATCGACGAGGAATGAGAGGACTTCACTTCTGAAGCCCGGGGTTTAGGGTTTAGGGCTTTAGGGTTTAGGGTCTAGGGCTGTTGGGGATACTGCTTTACGGTTGAAAGCCTTAAGGTTTGAGTGTTCAGGGTTTACGGTCTACCAGAAATCAGCTTCGAGGCATGCAGAGAAACTCCCACCTGCTGCGGTGCCGCGCCGAAGCCCTCCCCACGATTGGGGGCGCAGCCCAGGCCGTGCGCACTGACCAGGCCGCGCACCTAAAAAGCGGACTTGTTGTTATGTTGTTTGTTCTCGCTTTTCATTATACTACTATTTTTGCTATTATGGCGATGAATACACCTTAATAGTTGCCGACAGGAAGGATCGGCGGTTCTCAGCTTCCACGATTCGAGTCGAGTCGCGGCCAGGGCAGGTCAGCGTAGTAAGAATCGAAATAATAGTCATTGAAAAAACAATGGCAGTAATTGTAATCACAGTAATGATAATGTCAATCAAAACTCATTAGAATAACAATACTGGTACAAATCATACTAGTTACAAATAATGGCGCATCGCTCGCATGAAAAGCTGCCGAGGCACGCTTATGTTCGAGGTGCCACAGAGGAGGAAGGCGCCAGCCTCACTCCGGCCCGTCACAGCGACTTGCATTGAGACGGTTTAGGGTTCAGGGTTTAGGGTTACGGATTTGGGCTTGCATGGACAGCCGAGAGCATAGTGTCGCACGTACATTTCGGCATCCTCCTCCACCACGATGCTGCCTTGCCTGGAGTGCACGGTCTTTGGGTTCAGGCTAATTGTAATGATAAGAACGAAAATCGTAAGAATAATACGTAAAATAGAAGAATCATATTACTAAGAATGGTTATGACAAGCATAATGATAATCATAACAGTACAATAATGTTCTTCTGTAGACATTGTAATCATGGCAATAACAGCCATACCAAGAATAATAACAATCATTAGTTCTGATACAAATCCTGAACAGCAGTAATACCAGAGCCTGCTTGCAAGCACGATGTCGAAGCTGACATTGTCTGCAAGCGTCTGGTTCTGGAACGGCATTGCTGCCAAGAGCGTGCCACAAGGATCTGTCCTGACTGCTTCTGACCAGCTTCCACGCAATCTAGATGCCGAAATGAAATCCAAAGTGAGGCTGGAAAGCATCAACAGAAGACTTTCCATCGCTTTGCAGGCTAGCATTGAACTTGCATGAACTTGCACAGTCCCCCAACATCCACCAAGCGAGAAGCGAGACTCTGGGGATTGCTCCCCGAAGAGCCCAAACAGACCCCTCAGCTCCACACAGCGCGGTGGGCAACTGGTCGCAACGCCGCTGGCTTGACTGCCGCACAAGCCGGGGGGAACGCTTCTTGACACTGATAATGTGGAAACGGTGCGCTAATAGCCCCGCACCTCCGGATTCAACCACTTACATCTACGTTGCTACACTACAGCTCCAGGGTGTCACAGGACGAGGGTCATGATGAAGTCCTTGCGGAAACCGTAGGATCCGCAAATGCCGGTGCCTGCAGCCGGCTTCCTCGCTTCAAGACGAGGTCCTCGTGGTGATGACTGGAGGCTTACGGCTTCGGGGTTTAAATTCAGGGTTTGGGGTTAGGATTTGGTGTCTCTCCGTCCCCACACCCACACTACATCTCATCCTTGAACATGTCGGAAACTGCGAACGACAGGACACACTGTAAGGCGCTTGACGCGACTCTGGCTGCCGCTCACCACCCGACACCTAAACCTTAAACCCCTAAACTTAAACCTCTAATCTCATAAGCCCAACATTCGAGCCCCAACTCCCCCTGACCCACCACCCCCGTGAAAACCGGAAACCCTAAACCCAAAAAAACCCTAAGCTCTAAAACCCCAAGACCTCTAAACCCCTACACCCCAAGCTGTAAACCCTAAACCCTAAAACCTACACCCCTAACCCCTAAACCCTCAAACCTCCACCCCAAGCTCCTGCTCCACGACGATGGAGGCCGCCCGCAGCCGCCCGCTGCCCAGCAGCACCCGCTGGGCTCGGAGGCTGAAGATCCCCTCCCCCTGGCCGAGCCTGCCAGGTCAGAGCTAGTGATCATAGTTTAGGGTTTAAGGTTTAGGGTTTAGGGTTTAAGGTTTAGGGTTTAGGGTTTAAGGTTTAGGGTTTAGGGAGAACCGTAGTCATAACCATCATTATCGTTATACTCGTCATCATATCAATAACAATAGTAATAGTCATAATAATAAAATAATAATAATAATAATACTAATAATAATAACACGAAAAGTAATGATGATAATGAAAGATTAACATTCTCTGCTTGGCTGAGGCTGGCAGGTTGGGGGTCATTGTAGTACCCCTCAGAAAGGCCCTATAGACTTTGGGTCATCATATGCCCCTCCTTAGGAGTCCCTGTACAGCTATACTGTCAAGTCAACTCTAAGAACACTTGATGCCAATACCTTGAACCCGACTTGCCAAAGACAAAGCTCAAGACCCGAACCCAGCACCAAGCTAGTCTTAAAGAACAGCCCCACACGACACCACGCAACTGCTTGTCACTGGCTATGTAGGAATCCACATTACCTGGGGACCATCATAATAAGAACTCGGTTTTGGGGAGTCTACTATGCATACTGAGGAACAATATTGCGAGTTGCTTGGCGGCCCGGCGCCCCCTGGTGAGCGTTGATTTCCTCCGATGCCTCAAGCGAAGCCACCTTGTCGCTCGCCACGGAGCGAGATTAAAGACGGACAAGAGAATCATAATAGCAATGCATGTATTTAGGAACTGCAATAGAAGTGGCAAAACAAATACCAACACGGTGCTGAGAAGAGCCATGACTGCTGATGAACCGGTGCTACTGCTGAAAAAACTGCGGCGCCGTGGAACTGACAGGGATAAGGATGAGGAAAATGAGGGTGCTGCAATCAGGAACACTGGTAATCGGCTGATGGACGCTGACCATGGTACTGCAAAAGCAGTGATACTGATATCGCGATAGCTCGAATGCTACTGCCAGCAAGTGGTAACGCCAGTGCACAGCCGTAGTAAAAAGCGGCAGCAGCAGCAGTAGTGGCAGAAGCAGCAGTAGTGGCAGCAGCAGCAAGAAGAGGAAGAAAAGAAAAAGAGGAGAAGAAGAAAGCTAGCGCTGGTCATGGTCATGGATCATACGCAGGGACGGGCATCTGTGCCGATTGGCACTGTCGCTTGAAAGCAACAAGAAGTTGAGAAACCAAGTTTCGGGCCGAGGCATCGATGGCGGCATTCTGACGGAGAGTGATGTGCTTCGCGCCGATGATGCGGATCTCACGGGCCTCCATCAAAGACATGCCCAGAAAGGCGAGACGTTCATTCGTAGTGATAACGACACAAAAAGAAAACCAAGAAAGCGAGCGGGACAAGGACGATCACGAGAAGCAGAGGCCCTTTAAAGCCTGGATGATCGAGGAGAAGGCCAACTCGAGGCCTCCATGTTTCGGTCTCGCGCAGTCTCGGGTATTGTCGTGTTCTCAGGTCCAGGCCGTCGTTCTCCTGGCTGAAATTCAGGAGGAGCGGCCTTCAGGCACCAGGAGCAGAGGTCTGCACTGGACCAGCATCGAAACTGAGGCTGCTGCCCTGCCCCGAGGTGCTTGAGTGTGGAGCCGGTCTGGTCAGACAACCTGGCATAGTAGTAGCAATGATATGATAGTGTGAAGGGTGGAGTTGTCGAGGAGCAATCGGGCTGGGCTTGCAGCGCCAGTCCCGCCAGTGGCCAGGTGGCATCCTGATCCGAAGGCACCACCAGGGCATCATTGACCTGGAGCCTTGAAGGAGACAGCTTCCATTCCGAACTTGCACCTGGCAACCTAACCGTATCTGAGCTTCGGGCGCAATCGGGGCGGGAAATACCGGTAGCGGCGTCGGCTGAGGCAGCTTCGCACCTGCCAAGTGCACGGCATAGGAGTTGTCGACCCGGACCGTGTAGACCTCGGCTGGGAACCCGAAGTAATCATTTCAATACACATAGCAATAGTAATATTTATAGTTATGGTAGTCATGTACTTACAATGGTAATATTTTTCGAATCTGATCTCGCTTGGGTGTCTGAAGGTCTCGGACAACGAAGCGATTTTAGGCCCTGGCTGAACCACCGATGCTCTGCTGTGACGTCGCGTGCTTGTCTTTGCAAAAGGGATTCCAACTGTGCCTCGAAGCCGATGATACCGCACGCGACAACAGCAACCACAACCACAACAACTACTACAACCACAACTACCACAACCACCACAAGAGCAGCAGCAACAACTTGACAAACTCTCGCGAAACCTCAAGACACGAAACCAATATTGCCCGTGATGCATGGGCCTTGAGGGCGTTGTCAAGCGGCGGCGCTTGCCCACTCCTGTTAGATACTACTTCTACAATTCCTACAACCCCTACAACTCCTCCAATAGTTGCTGCTCCTCCTCCTGCTCCTCCTCCTCCCCGACGCTGCTGCAACTGCTGCTACTGCGGCCAAAGCTGCTGCTGCTGCTGCGGCTTCTGCTGCTTCCGCTGCTGCTAACGACTACAACTACGACTATGACTACGATGACGACGACTACTACTGCCACCACTGCCACTACTACACTCCTCCTCCTCCTCCTCCTCCTCCTCCTCCTCCTCCTCCTCCTCCTCCTCCTCCTCCTCCTCCTCCTCCTCCTCCTCCTCCTCCTCCTCCTCCTGCTGTTACGGCTACTGCTACTGCTACCATGTCATACATACATACAGACAGGACAAGACAAGACAAGGCAATGCGATACAGCACCGCGCAGCAAAATATGTATAAATATAACACATCTGAACTTAGCGTACGGATCCATCAAAATCCAGGTGCATAAACCAAATGTATAGAGAACAAGACTTGCTGACTCACTTTCTTATTTACTTATAAAGTTACATGTCCATTCTTGTGCCTTTCCATCTGTTCACTTGTTTTAACATGTGTGTATGTACACATATACACATGTAGCACGCATGCACATAAAAATACACACACATGCACAGACAATACTTAACTCAACATGTTGAACATGACCGGTCCAATGTTATATCCTCAGCTTCTGTATGATCTAGATTATGTACTGCATAATACATTTCTTAAATACATATAGGTCAATATTTATTATACTTTCCTCGAAGTGCAATAGCCAGTGTTCTCTGCTTTTGCTGTTGTGCCTTCACACGTGTGTACACGCCCTATCTATCTATGTATCTATCTATCTCTCTCTCTATATATATATATATATATACACATAAGGTACAGTGCTCTTCACGGCCGATTTAGGCCTGGCGTTGCCCCCACATGGAAGGTCCACGTGCCCGCAGAGCCGCAGCGGCAGCCCTCTCCATCCATCTGGCAGAAGGAAGCTTACTGTAGCTTGCAAGGTTCAGCATATAGGGTACCATGCGATAGCACGATGTGTCCATATTGGTCTGTACATCTATTGACGCAAAATGCGGACTTAAGTTGAAGTTGTGTGGCTGTCTCGCATAGTTGAAAAACGGCTCACTTTACTTGCAAACGGACCCATGGCATAGCTCATTGCCGAAGCTGGCCAGAGACGGAAGTCACGAAGCCCGGCAGGCCTTCAGGGCGTCCCGGAAGCAGCCACCAGCCACGATCACATTCCGTGGGATCGTACCGGAAGAAACCTATCCGGCCGAATCAGTGCAGGAGACGCTTTGATCCCCTGAAAACTAAACCCCAAACCCCACATCAATCCTAAACCCATAACCTTAAACCCTAAACCACTAAATCCTAAACCCAAACCCTAAAGCAGCGCACGCCTCGGTGAGAACGCGCCCACCGCCGCCACAGAGGCAGCGGCGGCAGCCTTGAAGCCGCATGGACACTTTTTGCTGCCCCATGTCGCACCCTGCTTCAAAAAGGGGCGCCTTGAAATTCCCTAATATGGTTTAGGGTTTAGGGTTTAGGGTTTAGGGTGCCTGCTAGAATGCCCTTATCATACCCGGGGCTCCGGCAGCCGCCGACGGCGAGCACGCGTCCCTTCTGGACCGAGGAGGCACCCGAGCCCAGGTCTTCCACGAAGTCCACTTCGCCTGAGGATTCCACCGGGCTTAGCCGTTTGGCAAAGAGGATGTGCTGGGATTTTTTTTTTTGAGCACCTTTTTCCACCTAGCAATCAAGGTCGGTAGAACCCACAGTTGTGGGATGTGCTGGGGTTTAGGGTTTAGGGCTTTGCATAGCAAAGAGGATGTGCTGGGGTTTCTTAGGAATTAGTCTTCAGGTGCAAACTAAATGGGGTCTAGAGTGTAAGACTTGCAGCTTACGGCTTTGGGTTTACGGTTAAGGTTGCACAGTGTTGTGGCAGCAGAAGATGTTCCAAGAATAGTCCGAGCAAATAATTTCCTGATTCTCAGAAGAAGCAGGCCAATCACTACGCTGATAACCGTGAACCTGAGACATCTCGCTTTCACGCAAGATGAGAACACTTTTTGGAGGCGTAGCGGGAGGCGGCGAAGTGCAAACGAAATCGCATTCCAGATCGAAACATCTCAGAAGTCGATCGGAGCGAATCGTTGCGTATCACCCCACCACTCCAATATGTAAGAATAAATACAGGGCGGTGTGGGCGGGCTGAAAAGCTTCACGGTCCTCGAGCGGGCAACAGCTGCGAAGTCTTGCTGTTGCCGCTCGTACATGTCACTACGTGCACACGTGCACTACACGACATCTCGCTTTCACGCAAGATGAGAACACTTTTTGGAGGCGTAGCGGCAGGCGGCGAAGTGCAAACGAAATCGCATTCCAGATCGAAACATCTCAGAAGTCGATCGGAGCGAATCGTTGCGTATCACCATAGGTGTGCCGCCTGCACCATCACAGCACACCGGGAGCCCTAAACCTCTCAGAGCCCGTCAGTAGTTCTTCGAAGACGCCGTCCCAGTCTCGTTGCAGCTCCGTCCAGCTTTCGGCTCGAGCGTGTCGAAGGTCCCCTCTGCTGACCGAGTCACTCACGTTGGCGGAGGACGTCACTCTTTGCCAAGCGGGTCGAAAGGAGTTCTCCTCGAGGAAGCGCCACGCATGTTGGAGCAAGCAATTGATCGACTCGTCTTTGCCAAAGCCACGAGTGAGTGCGTGTCGTGCAGGTTCGTTGTCGACGAACAGCAATACGTGGCGATCGAGCTGTCTCTGCATGGCGAACAGAGGGAGAATCTGGGCCACGATCTCCAACATGTAGATATAGGCGCGGCGACTCGTGAATGCCCGCACGAACCAGTAAGGCACACGTCCATGTGCGAAGTAGGTCCGCCCCTGCACCGTGACGACGAAGCCCCATCCGTTTCTGAGCGTCTCAGGTGGCGTGCGTCCCCAGCTGGGTATGTCCTCGTCGGAGGGCTTCCAGTCCTTGTCGAAGAGGTTGAAGAACGCGTCGGCGTAGAGCACGGAGTGCGCCTCCTTCTGGAAAGGAAAGGTTCTGGGCGGTGCGTGGCGTAGGCTCCATCTGAGGAGGCCGATGCCATGGCGAAGCTGTCCGTCGAGTCGCCAATTCTGGTGGTGTCTGCCTGCACCGGTAAGTCTAGATCTCCGAAACAAAGGCCGAAGCGCTGCTGCGTGCGATCGCCCTCGAAGTGACTGGCAGTAGAACTGTAGCTTCCCTGCTAGGCTCGCTGCTTCGTGAGGCGGAAGACGATCTTGAGTGAGCACGTCGGCGAGCATCTCGTCGAGCCGTTGTCGACGTTCTTCGGTGCCCTGGACGGTGACGGAGTCGTTGTTGACGACGATGCTGACGCCCTGGATGACCTGCTGCGAAGCGGGAGGCTGTTCCTTGGACTGCTTAAAAGAAAAACCCAAAGCCTTGCAGAGTCGTCGCGAGGCGTCGAAGGACGAGCGGGCGAGTTCCGTGGCCTCTGCGCTGCCGAAGTCATCGACAAAGTGAAGTGCGGGCGTGAATATGCATGCCCGACATAACCACCCCATGAGGTCTGCTATTCTGCAGTACGACCACACGCTCGCCACTGACCCAAACATTAGGACAGTGTGACGTTAAAGGGTCACTCCGTCGGGCGTCGCGAGGATGAGGTAGGTATGTGACGGGTGGAGCGCTGGAAGCTGTCGGTACGCTGCTTCATGGTCGAGGCCCCATATGAGCATCTCTGCCTTCGGGTCGACCTCCTTGATGGCCTTGACCAGTTGTACGTAAGAAGCCACGTCGTGGTACGGCGGGGAGTCCTCGGCTGCGACCGTCGCGTTCGCGAAAGACCTTCGCCAGTCCTCGGCTCTGCGGACTTTGGGGCGGCCGTCTGAGCCAACCTGGTGCACTGCAAAAGCGAAGCAAGTCGGCTGGTGTTCGTCGGGTCCTCGCAGCAGCTGACTTGTGTGCGAGTGCGAAGCGAGAGGCACAGCTGTTTTGGGCCAACATGTCGGGTTGGAGAAAGGGCCCTCCATTCTGCCGAGCTCCACGTCCGCGGCGATCTCATTTGCCATCTGTTTCCAGCATGGATCGACTCGGCACCGGCGAAGCTTGTCGACGACGTACTGCCTGTTCAGGTGCATGAACTCCTGGAGGTCGAGCGGGTTAGCGTAGCGCTCGTCATTGCGTCGTTTCCATCCCAAGCCCGGGGCAAGAGGCCCAAGAAGGCGAAAACCTGTGGTGAGCTCGTCGAAAATGGTCCTGTCCTGCCAGCCGAACAACTCGCATATCTGTCGAAGCGCGGGCAGCTGTAGGGTGCACACCCCGCGTTTGCTTCGGTAGGCTTTCTGAACGTGCGGGCTCAGGCTTTCGTACCAACGCCTGGTGTCATCCTCCAGGTCCATCACGAGTTGCTCGACCTGTTCGACCACTGCGATGCGAAGGTCCGCGAGGTGACTTCTCATTCGAGACCAGATTTGGATCCATTGTTGTAATCCTGGTTCCATGTGAGCGTCGCGGTGGTCAGGATGCGGCATCTGTCGTGACAGTCTCCAATGTTCCGAGGGGTCCTGCAAGTAAGATAGGTCGAAAGGGTCGTACTCGCCGGGTCCTGGGCCTAGAAGAGGAGGTCGTCCCTGCCACAAGTTGGCAGCTATGTCCATTGCGGTTCCCCCCAAAGGGTTCAGCTCCTTGGCTGAGGCTGCGGGCGTCGCGGCGAACACGGCCATGATGAAAATCAGGTGCGCGGCTCCAGCGTGCCAGCCGTTGGCAAGTGCTTTGTGGCGTTCGTGTTCGGAGAGCTTGCTGGTCCAACCCTCCGGTAGGTGATGCCATTGTTCTTTGACTGAAGGAGGCGGAATCACGAAGCGTCCCTGGCTATCTACCATCATCACCCCTGCCTCATAATGCCAAGGAGCGAAGCGTTGTCGATCTGCACGCCAGCGTTGGTTGGCCTCGCTGCTGATCTTGCCCTTGCTGCTGCGTGGCGCAGGGCGACCCTGAGGGTCATCCGCGGGTGTGGTGAGGCACGGCAGAGGCTTGCCTTCTTCGACCAAGCACCTTGGCAGCGAAAGTCCCGAGGTTTTGAAGGCGTGCGGGTCGTCCTTGACGAGGTCGAAGTGAACTCGCGGAATCCCTTGCATGCTTGTCCACCTCAAGCGAAGGGGGCAGTCGGATCGGTGCGCGATCTCTTGCCAGGGTATCCTGCACCACCAGACCCGTGGTCGGGATATCGTACCAAAATCTGCGGCGTCGTGGACGACTGCGGGCGCGTCGAGGACCTTCTCGATCTTGCGCATGTCGGCCCGGTTCTGTGGTATGACGTTCTCCACCATAACGATCGCGCGAGGGCGTTGCCATTGCTTCTCGAGGTCCGCGATGAGCTGTGCGAAGCGCATGAACTTGGAGCCTTCTGGTCCTTGGTGTCCAGGCGCATCGGCTCGAATGCGGGAAAAATCATGACATGGGGGACCGCCTGCTATCACCACGGTAGCCCGTCCTCCGGGGTCGAGCTCCTGAACAAGTTCATGTAGGGATGCGGGCGTTTCTTGTTCGAAGTCGCCGCGGTGAATGACGTCGGGGAAGTGCTCTTGTAGCAACATCTTAAGGTTGGGGTCGATCTCCCATGATGCTCCACGCCATTGGAGACCGTTGCTCCTGCAATGCTCGTCGCAGATCAGACATGCTGTGCCCAGGCCGTCGAAGAAGCTGAGTATGACGATGTCGGGGTTGAGGTCGCCATGCTTGATGCGGACAGTCTCGGCCTTGCTGCGGAGCGTGGCCTGTTGGGGTCGCTGCGCGTCGCGATGATCGGGAGATCTCCTGGAGCGGGGCAAAGGCGACCGCGAGCGAGCGAAAACTTGGTCGTCTCCGCTGTGCGTTGGGTCGGGTCCACCCCTGCGGGATGGCCCGTGCTGTCCCTATTCCTGTTGTTGCCACTGCTTGCGGCCATCCTGATTCTAGCGCCAGTCTGACGTGCGCCACTGCTGTCGATCGTCGTCGTGCTGGCGTCCTCGACCGTATCCCTGCCAATGTTGACGATCGTCGTCGTGCTGACGGCCGCGGCCTTGGTATTGCTGCCACTGGCGATCGAAGAATGCGTTGTGGCGTTGTTTCCCGCCACCTTTGCCGTTGCCCTTGTTCTCGGAGCGCTCCCACCAGCGTTGTTGGCCTTTGCCTTGTCGACCTTTGCCACGTCCTCTGCCTCCACGCGGTGTGTCTTGCCAGGTAGCTTCAGTGTGGCGAGGAGCGCGGGCGGGGCGATCGGGCTGAACCTCGGTGCTCATGGCCTCCTGCAAGAGCTGGCTGTCGGACATGATCTCGTGGGAGATGTCTTTGAAGGGCTGCTTCTTGCGAAGCGCCAAAGCTATGCGCCAAGATGTGTTCTCCCAGTGGACCTTGAGCTGGTCGATCTTGTTGGGGCGACTGCGCACCAGGCGTTGCCACCATGCGAAGTACTCGTCGATGTCGTTCTCCGGGGCGTACTCGATGAATATGAGGGCGACGCGAACGGCCTCCAAGCAGTCGAGAAGGGCAACTTGGCTCCTGGGCTTCCATGGCGTCTCCGGTTCGGTCTCGAGCTGCAGGTCGGAGTTCACGACCAGTGTGGTCACCTGCTCCTGGGATCGTGCTCGCTTGCGGGCGGAGCTGAGGGTGTTGGGCAGGAGCGCAGCGGTGAAATGACGG